CAAAAAAATCAAAAAATTAACTAAAAAAATCATTGTAAAACAATTCCTAAAAAAGTTAGTGATAAATTTTACAGATCATCTCAATCATAATCTCGGTATTAAAAAACCTTTTGCATCAAATGTTCTTGTACTATGTCCACAACAATTTCCTTTAATTAAGCCCTTCGTTTCGCAACTTGAATTTCTAATTAAAAAAGTCATCTTTTTTTTGAAAGTTTTTTTTGACAAATTTTTTTTAAAGAATTTTATTCCATCTAATTCATATTTATTTTAGATGCCAAGAAAAATGTCGATGTGGTCAAGAACCAAGGCACCATGCCAAATGTATATAATCACAGGGAGGCAATAGCACATTTTGACAATCCAGGTGAGCATAATAAAGTGTTAATTAATTTTAAATAATTGATTCTTCCAAGGTAGAAACAACACTAATAAGCGCAAAACCAATCCAACAAGAAATGGGATATGGGTTAGTCATCAATTTTGAAAAAGGTATTAACCTAGTAAAAAATAATTAGCGTTGATATCTAGTTTAATCAAAATTTTCAAGAATAGCTCAGATTGTTTTGTAGTTTTGATTATATCCTGATAGATATTTATTTAGATTATGATAGACAAAATAACGAATAATCGTCATTAAATAAGGATATAACCGTCAAAAAATTGATGATCAAGTCAAATAATTACAGCCATCCACATGGCACTACAAGAAAAGTGATCTGTAACGCCGCTTGAATCAAGACGTTTTAAAAAACGTTGTGGTATACTGAATAGTCAACACGTTTTTCAAGGCGTCATGCTCGCCGTATTTAACTTAATAGACATTAAACCCCATTCCAATTACAAAATAACACAAAATCTCTCTCATACGCGGCTCTTCTTCATCGAACTCGATCTCTCTCTCTCTCTCTCTCTCTCTCTCTCTCACAAATCGCAGATCCGAACTCGATCTAATCTCTCTTGCATTTTGTTAGATCTATTCTTGCTCTAGCTTTTCTTCATCGAACTCAAACTCGATCTCTCTCGCAAATTGCAGATCCGAAATCGAACAAGAAAGTCTATCAATTTAATTGGTGTTTGATTTCTTTGTAGGTGGCGATGAAATGTAGAGATCAGTTACATGAACTTGTAAAGGAAGAGATTGAGAAGAGGGATTTGAGTACGGAGGAGTGGAAGATCGCGATGGAGAGAAGCTTCAATCGCATGGACAATGAGGTGATTGCAAGGAACGACAGCGTTCTGCGCACCGAGAAATATCGATCCGTTGTTGAAGGATCTGAGTGAGAAGAAGCAGAGCTTCCGGCGGAACGTGGTGTCACTGGCGGTGGAGCACAAGGAGGTCCGAAGCCGTCTCGCATCACAGGTGCAATCATTGGCTCTTCAAACCCTAACAAGACAGGCATGTGAATTTGTATATTTGTTTATATGTTTCTATGTATATTTGTTTGCATCTGTGTGTACTTTGGAAATAAAATAATTTCATTTCACCTTTTTGTTCTTCTCTGTAAAGTGATGTTCTTTGTGGGACCTTCTCTAATTTTGTGTATTTTTGGGTTTTTTATTATTATTTTTTTCCCTAGGCAGAGGCCAAAGCTAAGAAGATGGAGGATGAGATGTATAGATTACAGGAGAGCTTAGAGGAGAGAAATTGCAGCTTCAAGCATCAACATCTACTGCTGGAAAGGTATGATTTTACTATATGAATGGGGGTGGACACGATATCAGAAGGCTTGAGTTATGAAGCTTTTGGCAGTGATTGATTGAATTACCCAATTCAATCCAGTAACTCATCAACTATTGATTTGTGTATGAATGAACTTTGAATCCCCATTTGCAAACTAAATCTGGTAACCATTTTAAGAAATGTATGGGATATGCAATATGCTTTACATAAGTGATCACACAAGTAAGGTTTGCAGTCCTGTAACAATTTAAACATGTACTCATCCAGATAACTTAAGCATGCTGGTTGAAACTATTTGTTTTGTTTCCTATGTTGGAACTTGGACTGTTTTTTATGACACACATATCGGGCACTTATTTTCAAGAACTACCATTTGTGGTTATTGCATTGCCAACATTTGCCTCAACTCAAATTTTATGATATCTGGGAGAAAATATCTTTTTGAAAGTATGGTCATTTCATTGGATTAACTTTCAAGGTTGTACCTACCTGGTTTAGAAGATTCTTGCTTCCACAGGCATAAATATATATATATAAATAAAAATTAAAAAAAGAAAAAAGATAGATAATGGGAAATATAGTTTATTGGGAATAATTTTGGGGGGAAACAATTTCTGACCTGATTCTGTCCAGGGTTTGAACTGTGATGATCATTGGAAAACATTAGTCCATATTAAAGTGATCGTGTGATTCCCTTATTTATGTTGTTTTAATTCAATAACTGTCTGACATCGTTTATTTTGTGCTTTCCTTGCTGCAGGTCACCATGGATAGAAGTTTTGTAATTAGCTTCCTAGAAATGGAGAATTTTGAACTTCTTTGAAGGTATTGATTGGTGTGTGCTTAGGTGTAATTTGATAATGGTGGGTGACATTACGTGTGCTTCTAGGAAAAGGAGTTGGGGAAAAAAAAACATTTGTTTGCAACCATATGGTTCTGATCTTACTCCTTAGGCTTGTCATAGAATTATGACAATGGTACTCCGTTATTATGGTGGTGAATATGATCTTGATAGATATGGTGGAGTATTGTAATTGTGCTTTCCTTATTAAACTAGTTGTAATTTTCAATAATTAAAAAAAAAAAAGATCAGATCTTGTATTCAAGAAGTGTATTCCATTGCCATCTGATCATTGATATTATTTTTTCAAGTCCATTGTGCACACAATTGTTGCCCATTGGCAGCATGAGAGGAGTTCGTGATCTGTTAATAGATCACAAGTACTGATTTGAGTTGCTTACTAATACCTTGTGGTGCGCTTGATTTTCATTTTTTATGCCCATGTTATGTGATGGTGTTACCACTCTCATGAAAAAATTTCAGTATACTGACGCTACACTTTCCACCTTTGGCATTCGCATTGATGATATGAAATCTACATGAGTTGGTTTGGGTATGTCTACTTTCGGCTCTAGTGCCAATAGTGCTCTTTGTGTTTTGGAATTTATGCCGAATAAAGGGTGTACTAAACTTTTACCCCATATATTTTGTGGGAGTGAGGTCGATGAAAAGATTGGGGTTTTACTTTCTTATGGAGTTTGTTTGGGGCCCATCGTTAAAGCAAGTACTTTGTGTTTGGGCAACTTGGCCTTCATTATTATTTTTAGTTAATTGTGACCTTTTTTCCTGAGGACTAGTGATGGTCAGTGAAAGTTGATCTGAGTTTGAAAACCATATATTTCTTCCAAACTTTTAGGCTATGTTTGGATGTTTGATTTGTGAGAGGAAAGGAACCTTGGACAGGGAAATAAAATGAAGTAAAAGGAGTTAGATTGATTTCCCTTTTTATTGGGCATGAAAAACAAAGTATTTCTCAATATATATATTTATTTTAGTTATCCAAAAAAATGAATGTGTAATTTCATTTCTACTTAATTTTTCCTTCTTTTCACAGATTCAAAGATGTTGCACTTCATATCTTTGTGATCAGTATGGTTCTCTATTTGGGTGACACATTAGGGAAGTAGGATCCTCCACAGTGGACGTCCATGAATTACAGCATAGCACTTTGCATGGCTTTTTTTCCCTGAATGATAATTGAAGTTTTATACACTAACTGGCCTATTCTTGTTTCAACCAGTCTTAGAGAGTGAAATTTGAGCAGCCAATGAAAAACAACGGTGGTATGGCACGGCGATTGATTCTGCAATTTCTGAAAATCCTCTGATGATTTTCTTACATAGATCCTCTTTAAGTGACACTCATCAAGTATACCGTTTCTGTTGCTTTTGAATTTGATTAGGAAGCTACAGTGAGCTCTCTTAAAGTCAAATTCAAATATAGTAATTGAAGATGATCTATTCTAGACGAAGAACCAGAATTACTAGTTTGAGCTTAGAATGACATAGCTAGCGGTTTGTGGCTTACCTAATTATTGTTTTTGGTGAAATAAAAAGGGGGGGGTTGTGCGCTCTCATTCCATACCACTATATATATATTCTCTACAATTGTGAATTAGAGTGAAAGTCTTTTTAAAAAGTACCTAATTACCTATAAAAGCAATAAGTTGGTCATTTTCACTTATGGTTCTTTGGGGTTGACTTTTAATGTCATTTGATCATGGTCATATGCTCAGATTCTAAACTAGTGTCTAATTTGAGCAAGATGAGACATCTGGATCTAAGTTATAATAATTTTGACGAGGATGCCTTCAGGATTTTGGGTGCTCTCCCATCCCTTAAGTTTCTATCCTCAGTGTCCAATAGCATGGAAGGACCACTTTCTAACCAAGGTATGTGTATTTTTTATTTCTCAAATTCATGCTGCATAAGTTAATTTTTTTAGCTCCATTTGAGTGTTGAGAAGACTTAAAATAGTTGGAAAAATGAAGTCTTACAGCTAGCAATTTGTGCAAAATTATAGTTCTTTGTCAAATATATCTTTCTGGAATCTATTACTGCCATCAATGGCATCATTGTCCTTAAATTTTTTTAACATTACATTTTCATTTGAAATTGAGCTACTAATTGAGGTGCCCATAGAATATAGTTCACAACATCAAATTATATTTATCTCTATTTTCTTTATCTCAATCTAATTAAGGAGTCTTTTCACTTGGGTTACAGAATTGAAGAAGAAGAATAAAGAATAAGACGAAATAATGCATGCAAACGGAGCATATGTGAGATCATGTCTACAATCACTGGATATCATCTGAGTTACTTTGACGCAATTTAAACCTGCCAGAGCAAAAAACCACATACATGCTTACAAAATCTCTCTTTACAAATTCTTTTGAGGGACCTTCATATGTTGTCATTGATATCTCTCTTTTT